GGCAATGCCACGATGATCCATTTGGCAAAGTAAATCCATTGGGTATCCTTGTTGGTCTTCAGACAACAATTCTGATGGCTAAAGAACCAAATGGGACAGGCGGAAAAACATAAAATAAAATAAAAAAATTAAAAAAAATAAAGAAGTCAACAGGCAAATACTGCATTTCAGCATTTAATAAAGCACACAGAGAATCAAAGCCCTGACATAACACAAAGGAGTGCCAGGAGAGGGTCTTTTATGAGATAGCGACCAGACATCTGCACTCTCACTATGGTGCAGGTTAAATGAAGCCTGCTGTTAGAAAACAATAATTTCTTATTAAGATATAAGACGTTATTATAAAATATTATCCACACATGCGTACAAGGTGTATTTGTCAGCAGTTGTTTATAGCCACGGGTTTGTTTCTGTGGTGTATATTTATTAGAGCAGGATGAAGTATTTATTTCACTCAGCTTAATGATAATTTGAGGAAATAACATAGCTCACTCTCAGAGATATAATGAGTGAAAATTTAATTAAGCTCAATCAACATTTGGCAGTGGTTTATTGGTTGTTTGACTAATTTACTACATTGGCTTCTATACTAAACATGAATCTCTAAATCTCAGCTGGAGGAAGTTATGAGGAAGTCGATCTCTGCTTACATGACTTTACTGCAGATTTTTGGTCTTTTCGTGTTTTTTAAGGGCAATGTTAAATATAGGGAACAACTTTCATCTATATTTTTCAGTTTATTCTTCAGGTCCAATCGTGAAGCTAAGAATTTATTGTGGACAGCACATTGTCGCCACTCTTTGATTATAAGGTCAGAAATGGGTTTTCTTCTGGACTCTCCTCTGTCTTTCTCAGAGAACGGCACGATCAGCATCGCAGGACCGAGCATGAAGGTGATGTATGACCAGCAGGTAACGTTCCAGTGTGTAGCAGCTGGTTGGTACCCCAAACCTACAGTCACATGGACTCTAAATGGTAACGCTATGAACAGCACCCTGGACAACTTCACAGATAATGGGGATTTCTTTAACTCCACCAGTGTACTAACCTTCCAGGCAGTCAGAGACACGACAGTCAAATGTTTGGTGAGCATCCCAGCACTGACATCTCCGCAATCAACGTCTCTCTTCTTAGCAGTTGGTAAGAAACTCGTACTTACTTTTTGTGTATAAAGTTGAAAATGTTTAACAAAGAAGTTACAAGCCGTGACTTCTGCTACCTTCAGAAACAAGAGGATCTGTTTTTGAGTCATTTCCTCTATTTGTGTTACTGCCACTACTTTACACTTTAATTCCAACGACCTTTGCAATGCTGCCAGTCTGACCACAGAGCGTAGACAAGCAGAAAACTGTCATTTTATGTGCAAAGCGATCCCTGTGTAAAACAAAGATGTTAGTATTTTTCATTAAACCTTTGGTATGCTGCACTATTTTTTGCTAAACCTAAAACAAAATGTTGCCCTTTTTAAATCTAAAAGCTGTTTTAAATCACACTTTTAGAAAAGAGTTAGATGTGCGTGCCCTCGTGGTGAACTTCAGACGATTTTGGTTCAGGAGATTAAAAGCAAGAGAGCAATAAACTGTCACCTTCCAAAACACACTTTACAACATACTTGCACGACTGAAACTTTTCTAATTAAAACCAAATCTAAAATAAAGGTCTAACCAGGTAAAGTAAATATGATGTAATAGAATTTTATCATAGGTCAAGTCTGGACAGTCATGGACGCAATGTGAGGCAGTGGTATAGCTGGAAACTGTCCATGTATTAGGGTACTCACAAAAAGTAATGTATTACATTACTTACTGTTTTCTTCAAAAGTAATGCAGTATGTTACTTTATTACTCGCTGGAGAAAGTAATTTGTTACACTACTTGTTACATTACTTTGTCATTACTTAATAAAATTACTTGAATTATACTGTCTTGTTGTCTGCACACCAATACACATGTGTAACCTAATGAAAACAATCTTTCTTTCAGTTCTTACGTATGAACACAAAACAATAAAACAAAGATGAAAACCAGCCTAAGAGACTTCAAAGTGATCGCCACAGTCATCCTGCTTTAGAAATACGAGCAGGCAGCTAGCTTAGTGTTAGCGAGCTTTATGTGCAGATGAGACAAAAGTTCAAAGCGCCAAAGTTCTGTTAGCAGGATAATACATGTGTTTCTCTCCCGGATGCAGTTTGGTTTACCACGATGCTCGTGTCCTGTTAAGCAAGCAAAAAGCTTGCATCAAAGCTCTAACCATTTTCCTTCTCCTGAAATCCACTGACTGCTGCAAGAGTGCGCAGGAAGAAAAATGTATTATTGTTGGATTCTTTTTCCTTTCTATCCACCCGGCATGCAGATAACTAATGAATGTTAGTAACATGTCACATTACTATGTTACTGAAAAATATAAAGTGATTACAGGCATGTATTACTTTGTAACATATTACACCCTACACCGATACATTATAATCATATAAGGAGATAATTATATCTTCACGTTTTTTTCCGTGTGGAGGCAAATCTCACATGGGATTATAAGACATGTACTCTCTCCAATTAATGCGAGATATTTTTTTTTCCACTTTGCTTATTTATGCCTGATAGATTCTCTAAAAGTGCATAAACTTCTTCGGACATGAAGGTCATAACAATGATTTCAGTGTTAGAAGTAATCAGCAGGGTCTTCCTTTAATGAATGACCCTGACAAAGCACGACAGCGTGAATGATGATATATTACTGTTTGCCTTAGCCAGTATAATAGATTCCTTCTACTGTATGCTCAGATCTTATGAATAAGTGAAAATCCACAGATAGACATAAATATATAATTTATCAGATCTGATAAAAAATAAAATAAAATAAAATAAACAGACAAAAACCAAATAAAAAAAATATTCAACTTATAACGTAGAGTAATTACCCTAACACCAATAGCCCTGAATGTTTGGAGCCAGCCAAGAGGACACAGATATCACATGGATTCTATGCTGTAATATGCAAAGAGGGAGAAGTGACATTTCTATCAGGAAGTAAAGCGTCCTGCTTCAAATAAATAGAGTAGAATAACAGCTATGGACTGTTCTGAATGCCCAATCTTAGGTTTTTTGAATCTTGTCTCTGTATGATGTCAGTAAGAAGAGATATACCTTATATAGGCATGTCCACTGTCATTATGCATTGCCACAGGACTAATTCTTGAGTTGGTATTATACTCATCTAGTTCCCACACCTTTTAGGTTTTTTGTTAGATGCCTCAGAAAAAGTATCCAGTTAACGCAAGCTTTAGACATTCACATTCTGTTCTGCAGAATTAAATATGTAATTTAACACGCCACGCTTTTGCCTCTCCCAGAGAAGAGGAAAAGACCGCAAAGGTTGTCATCAGTTCTCATTTGTCAAGAGAACCACAGTCGTGCTGTGGCCAGGATGTCAGTGGGACTCTTCAAATATTTTTGTTTTGTGAGCGATAACCAATCAGATGAAGCACTGTAATGTGTAAAGCATAAAAGAAGTGTGTGTGTATGTGTGTGTGTGTGTCTGTGTATAGGTGTGTGCTTGCTCATGGGGGGTCATATGATTGTTGGGGTTTTCTCTGTATGTGTTATTGTAGGGTCTACCTTACATACAAAGCACCTTGAGGCGACTGTTGTTGTGATTTGGTGCTGTATAAATACGGCTGAATTGAATTGAATTGAACCTAGGCACAGTATGAGATACATAGGGATTAGTTTGGACACTGAGTTTTAAATAAGCAGACATTTATTCCTTTCCCTCCGTTTAAGGTGCTTTTATTGAACAGTTTAGTGTGACAACAACAGCTTTAAATCTTTGAATCACTTTCTCTTACTTCTGATCTTTCTTCTGCAAAAGCTCCCAAGCCGCCTAATTGGACTGTGTTGATAGCTGTGGTTGTGTCCTTTGGAAGTCTTGCTCTGCTGGTTTTGCTCATCATTGGAATTTGGTTTTGCTACAAACGCAGGAAAGAAAAACGTAAGGGTCTCATTATGTCATTAACTACATAGATTCTGTGTCCCCACAATCACAAATGTTGTACTAACAGATGATGAGCACAAATACAGAAGTCACTGTTTCATTTGTTAACTACAAGTATTTGTGAATCTGTTTTTAGAAACAAACTATCAGGACGAAATGAGGTAAAAGCCGATTTAAAATTATTCTGCCATTTAATTTATTTATTAACTAATAAACCTTTTTCAGCATACAGTAAAACTGACTGATGTTCATATTTGTGTGCTGTAGGAGAGTGAGGACACAGAGCCAGTTAAGTGGTGTGCATGGACCCAGAAACAAAGAGGGACAAGTGAACACAGCATATGTGCCGGAGGGTCAGACAAGTAAGACTGAACACAAACACACAAGCCTTTAAGAAGTTACTCGTGTACTGTACCAGTATCTAACAGATAAAAGGGTACTTGTTCTTGTACTTTGCTCTTTGGTGGAAATCTCTGAACAATCTTAGAGGTAATCCAATTATCCAAAACCATCTGATACACTTTGAATCTTTACATTTTTTTGCATAGTTGCTGATCCATCCTTCTTTTCCTGTTTTGCTTCTCTCTTCGCAGGTGTTCCTACCAGTGAAATCACTGACAATGGCTTATTCCAGGTAAATAGCTCCAGTAATTTAGATCCTGGTCTGGGTTTTATGCAGCAGTAAACATGCTAGCTTATCAGCCTGTCCAAGCTGACATTGGGATGGGTTAATAGGCTGTCAGGCAGACAGCTCACCAATCAATCACAGGACTGTTATTGGACAATAGAAAGCAGTTTTGTTGGGTTTGTGACTTTCTTACAACTCCTTTTCTTACAGCTGCACTGTACTGGTGACTTTGGTGGAAGCGAAGAGCAAAGATGTGTTACAGTTCTCGTCTATGTCTTCCGTGCTAGCAGCCCAGTAAAGCTGTAATTAGACAGAGCAGTGTTTGAGCTAAATGCTAAAGTCAGCATACAGTGCTTTTCAGAAGACCAGTATCACCATCTTAGTTTAGCATATTAGCAAACTACTATTTGGCTACGTTCACACTGCAGGTCTTAATGCTCAATTCCGATTTTTTGATCAAATCCGATTTTTTTGTCTGCTCGTTCACACTACAAATAAAATGCGACAGCAAACGCGCTCTAGTGTGAACGCTCAAAGCGGCCCGCATGCGCAAAAGAAGACGTCACACACAACGCGCTCTGTTTAGACCCAGAGCAAACTATTGTTTGACAGATGGCCCTTAATATAAAGACTTCGGACTTTACGTTTCCCAATTTTTGCTTTAAGTTATTTTGTTATTTACATAATAATGTAAATAACCTAATAATGATCCTTATTGCTGTTTTAGAGGAGCGGTGCTTCAAAGGATAGTGCAGATTTCTGTCAGAATCTGCAGATTATACAGTACAAATAAAATGTTCACGTTTCTCCAACGTTGTCTTCCCAACAGTTTCACTGACATCTACACTGGATGGCCAGGAAGCGTTCGCGATGTCTTCTCCGGCGCTGATAATTGGCGTCTGTCTTGTGTCAGTGACGTAAAAGACGGATTTAATGCGACATGACCATCAAACAGCAGTCGCTTTCTAAAACATCGGATATGTATCGGATTCAGTACCACATACGAAAGTGACCCAGATCGGATTTGAAAATATCGGATTTGTGCCGTTCACACTGTCACACCATGATCGGATAGATGGTCGCATAGGGTCAAAAAAATCGGATTTGATGCGCTTTCGCCTGCAGTGTGAACGTAGCCTTTGTTTAAGGGTAAATATAAAGTAGGACACGGGCTAATTTGCAGGTTTTTTTGTGGGGGAAAAATACTTGAATTACCTTGAAAATGTTCATTTTGATCACATGATGACTCAAGGTCATGTGTCACTGCTATGCTAATCCATTCAGTAGATGTTGAGATATTTCACTGATATTATAGAGAACAGCAGTTTATCTGTAAATGCTTCAGGACATTTTAATGAGAAACAAAAAATGTTGATCTCTTTGTTAACTGACTCAGAGTTACTGCAGTTACCTTAGGTAGAGCCACAATACTAGCTAAACAGCAATCATTGCTTCACAGTTCAGTGTCAGCACCACATAGTGAAGTCTATTTTCTGTCTGGATCTTCAGCCTAAAATATGAACTCTCATCACGTCATGATTTTAGATGCTTGTTTGAATAAACCTGATTGCCTTTTAAGTTTGTCATCGTGAATTCTCGAGTTATGGTTGTGCTTCGACCGAACCGTTTTATCCTTGAGTCCAACTAAACATTTTTTTAGATGTTCCCTCTGGACTTTCAAAAGATATCATGCGATAAAATGTATAATGCCTCCCTTAAATAGAGCTTTTCCAGTCAAGCAGCAGCAGTTTGTATGCTTAACAGTGTTGGGACTAACGCGTTATTAAGTAACGCGTTACAGTAACTACGTTATTATTGTGGTAACGAGCACGGTAACTAGTTATTATGCCAAAATCAGGAACGCGTTACTCGTTACTGGGATTTAGATAGGGTCGTTACTCGTTACTTCGTGTGGTGGCATCGCGGAGCTTCCACAGATTCAGTAACATTAGCAAGTGGTGGAGGCAGCAGGTGGATGAAGGAAAGGGAGGCAGAAGGAAAAGAGACCCGAACTTCAGGTAAGAAGTTATGACCTGCAGTCTCTCTGGGTCAGATATGAACCAAGTTTAGGTGGAGTTTATTTTCGTTATGCTGGCTTTTTCCGTACTGCGTGCTAGCTAGCATGACGGAGTTTCTATACAGCTGGGTGGGTGCTATGATACTGATGTTGAACTTTATTTTGTTCATAAGTTATTAGAGTTGCCAACCGTCCCGTCTGGTATTCAGAGAAAATATTACGCGTTTCTTATTGAGGTGAAAAGGAACAGTTTGTCCCGTAATTCAGCTACAATGAAAAAGACACAAAGCTGGAGTTATTCTGTGTCTTTGCTGCACAGCTGCCTCTTCTTCTTTCATTCTCCCCCCTCCCTCTCCCGTTTCTACTTCAATCATGAAACTGATCAATGATCAGCTGATCGGTTCTCTCTTGTTTGTTTATCGCTCACTTTGCGCCAGAAAGAGGAAACCAGCGGATGTCGCGCTAAACAACAGCAGCACGTTTAAGCTTGATCAGCTGTTGTTAGAATTTATTTAATATTAATTTCTAGTATCAGCTGATGTTTGCTGGAGCCACAGCTGCAAAAAAGCTGCTGGTCATGATATGGTTTGGTTATCTGGTGAGAGGGAAACATGAAGATGAAACCAGGAGATGTCCTTACTGGATCATCAGAGCTGAACAGGTGATGGAGAAACAGGTTTACCTTTTAGGTGACATGAATGAGTTGAAGGGAAGTTATGAACTGTTTCTGAGAGACAAATAACACCAGGATCCTTTTTTAGGTAGCTGACAGCTGGTAACTGTGCAGGGGCGGGTCTAGCAAAGTGTTGCCAGGGGGGCATGTAGGGCATTAACAGGGAAAGGGGGGCACAAAGAAATACTTTTCTTTCTTATTCTCATTTAAAATGTCTAGCTTTTAAAAAATAATTATCTGAATCTTACAACAAACGATTGATAGATTGATGCATATATACCATCAGAACAGTGTACATCACTGTCACAACAGTGTTTATTTTCATTCAAAGGCTTTATGATTTTTCCTATAATGGTGGGCCGGTCTCTAGTCAAAATGCCCGGGACGATTTTTTTGTCCCAGTCCAGCCCTGTATGCAGCTCATCTGCAGTCTGGTGTTACCTACATCTTCCTATTCAGAAGGCAGAATTTCTGAGTTCTGAGTACAATCGAAAGCACCACGACTGCAGTTTTTGTGTTGGATGTAAAAGGCGCACATGACTCTGTGACGTAGGCTAGAATCATGGCAGCAGTCAATGACGGTCCAGGCGTGGGATTTCTCTCGTGGAAATATGCACATTATCTTTTCCTTTCTATTGGTAGGTGGCACAGTGCACTTGTGGCAAGTAAGCAAGCTAGAAGACTGGCAAAGTTATGGAAGCAACACATTAACAAGAGAATTCTGAGTAAAACCAAAGTTACTTTCCCTAGTAACTAGTTACTTTGAAAGTAACGAGTAACTTGAAGTAACTGAGTTACTTTTGAGAGAAGTAACTAGTAATGTAACTAAGTTACTATTTTAAAGTAACTTACCCAACACTGATGCTTAAGTGGTTCAAGTCTGTCTTCATAATGTCATCATACTCCTGTGAACGCTTGGGGTTCAGTATCTTGCTTGAGGATACTTTGACATTTTGCTATTCAGACTGAAGCAGCCAGGAATCAAACCATCAGCTGACCTGCTCTACTTCCTGTGGCAAAGCCAACCTGTAGAGAAGCATCGTTTTTTTCACAGTTCAATCTTTGTTTCTTTGTTTCATGCTGTAATGTCATCTCATGGATTACACAATAGAACACCAGTTTTTCTAGTATTGAATCCATCTGATCTTTGGAACCATATTCTTTACATAAACCACAGTGAGTAACACTGGGCAGAACACTTGACACAGGTGGCGTACATTACAGTCCAAATTTTGCTTAGTCATGCTGTGTGCCTTTGGAAATGCTGAGACAGTTTTGATTCATTCAGATCATTTTGCTCTGGTAAATGAGCAAACATGATAATGTATTCATGTGGCTTCACTTCTGCATTCAACCACGTGAAAATATATTCTCCATAATTATGAACATGTTAATTTTTCCATGTACTTTAGCAGGCAGGGCACAAATGGATGAGTCACTGTTTTACCATGCAACTAATTTAAGTTTTGAATGACGCACCCAATAAACAAAGATGTTATTCAAGACCACAGTTACATTGCAGTATTTCCAAGCTGATTATGTGTTCAGAGGAGGAATATGATTAATGTGTTGTATAGATTTTAAAGTAACACACAGGAATATATGTTGATGAAAATGTTGAAAGAAAATTTTGGATTTATTATTATTTATAATGTTAAATTTTGCTGTTTTTGATTTTTAGGTATCTACTGTGGCAAACAGTGCACAAGCAGGTGGTGCCTTCTACAATTTTGAGGATCCAGGCTTCATAAAACACAGACACGCCACGATTGTGTGAGGACAAACAGAGGACACGTCTCTGAATGCTTGCGAGCCTGGGAACAAACCTGCACAGCATCTAAACGGTGCTCGACTTTGTCTGGATAAAAGGTGATGTGAATGACTGGATCTGCTCAAACCAAAGACTGATGTAGTGTGAAGGCTGTAGCCTCAGGTGGCCACGCAGATTTTAAATCCTCCATAATTTATTGTAGAGAAGAAATCATATAACCCTGCGATATATATACGAATTGTGTACATTTTTATTGTAACATTATGTGAATTTAAATATTCAAAAGTGATGAAAGTGATTAAACTTCTAAATCCCCTAATTTGCATCTCCTTACTTGTAAAGCAATTGTTCTCTGAAGAGTTGTCTATTTTAAAAAACATTACTAAAACCTGTTTTAAATGGTTACTTTGAGAATGACATGGCAGTTTCACATGTATAAGTTATTAGCCAGCTGCTGTGCACGGGCAGTTTGCAGTGGTTGTAGCTCATGAGGTGGAGCAAGTCATCTACTAACTGGAGGTTTGGCAGTTCAATTCCTTGTTGTTCCAGTCTCCATACCAAAGTATCCTTTGCTCAGATATTGCATGAGTACACGATTTCATTGAGTTATACTAATTTGTTTCTTCATGGCGTGACATCAAAGTTCGCCATGCTGCTGGGGTCACACCCTTTGCGAAAACTCACAGTTTTCACTGTAACCCAAGACCAACTTCTTAAGGCTTTCCTGGAGAAATTTGAGGCTGCAGATGTCACCATCACTATACTGTACCCCAAAGTGTAAAACATGACATTTCCTGTTCCCACTAGGTGGCGCTGTCACCAATGTCAAATATGGCAGTTGAAATGTGTTCAGGGGCGGAGCCTTATCACATGTGGGAAGTTTGGGCCAGATTGGACCATGTTTGAATGAGAGCAAATACAAATTTAAAATGATCGCCGTGGTGCCACGGACTCGCCCTATGACAAAAACTCAAAAGCTCCACAATTTAATGTGGCCCAAGTCTGTAGTTGAGACTGACCAAATATGATGTTGATTTGTCCCTATGAGGAGTTCGCAAAAGTACAACACCTGGAAATCAGCTGGAAAATATCACCTTCAATTGAACAACGGAAGCTAAATGTCCCTCCATCCATTCCCTTCCACTTATCCTTGTTAGGGTCACAGGGGGGCTGGAGACTATACACCCTGGACAGGTCGCCAGTCTGCCGCAGGGCTAACACACAGAGACAGACAACCATTCACACCTATGGGCAATTTGAAAGAGGTACCAATTTGAAAGAGGTACCATAGGAAAGAGGTACCATAGGAAAGAGGTACCATAGGAAAGAGGTACCATAGGAAAGAGGTACCATAGGAAAGAGGTACCATAGAAAGAAGGGCCTTAATTCTTAAGGCCCTTCTGGCCTTAAGAATTAAAGGCATAGTACAATTAAACAAACCAAATGAGGGGTCCAATCATTGTAGTTTCATTCATAGTAGTTTCATTGGTTTCAATCATTGTAGAAACCAAACTGCCTGGCGACGGTATGATGTGTACGGCTGCATTTTTCCAGCAAGGCACCCAGGCTCTAAGTGGTGTCCAGATTGGAGCTTTGTATACTGGAGTGTGGGGCCACATGGGTATACCTACAAAAAAAGTGCCTCACACTTATATCTAGACTCTAATTTTTGAGATTTATATTTCCATAGCCAAGTGAAACCCTACTGAGCCACAACAAAACTTTTAAATTAAATAATAAATATTTCAAATATTTTGGACCATTTAAACCATTAAAATCAGATTTAAATGAGCAGATTTCAATTACAAGTTCAGACATTTTTGCTGTTTAAGCGGTCAAAAGCCAAAACGAACCGCAATTCCTGCTATGGCACAGAAATGCTGTTCTCACACTTTAATGTACGCCAGTAATTCCAGATTCAGCACGTTTTTATGGACTGCTGGATCAGCTGGACTCAGATGACCTTTACTTGGCCAAGAAACAATTTTTGGAATTTGTTGGTGAAAACGACCAGAATGCAGCAAACTCGTCCAGCTGAGCTTTACGATCAAATACAAGCCACTGATTGGCAACGCTCCCCACTGGATCAATTAGGTGATAACGTGACATCGCTCTCATTATCACTCCTATGTAATTAGAGATTAAACTTAATTTGTGAGTAGATTTAATGCAATCTTCATTCAAATAGCCACTGAAGGTTCTGGCATGAACTTTGGGACTACTTAGTAAGAAAGTTTGACTTTGTGTTTTTATGAGACAAAGTGGAGTTAGCTAAGACATCACAGCTAAATGTTTCATCTGATCTGCTTAAACCAGCAGTAACTGATTTTAGAGATAAAGGCTGAAAACACCATATCAGCTGAGAGACAACAGCTGAATCATTTCTACAGTCACAGAGAAGCAGTTTAGCCTCTGTGTAGCCTGAGAGGAATAACCAGCAGCTTTATGGCTCTGCATCTCTGTGTGTGGACAACTGATGGGAGTGACTCACATTAGACAGCCGATGTGCTGAGGAGGCTTGTCAGAGTGTCTTGATGAAGAGTGAGGTTCCACAGCGCTGCTGTAAGAGCCCTTCAAGTCTGAGAAAACTGACACTAAATCCGATTACCTGCACTGTTTACGTCTCCATATTTGAAATCACATTAGTGCCTGTAATGTTCTCTTCCATTTAGTGTCTTTGAAATTGCGATTAATGGCTTAAATATGTAAGAAGATCCTCTTCATACTCCTTGATTTTACTCTTGTTAGTTGTTCACATATCT